CGGATCTAACTTCCGAGACGCGAGAACTCAGTAAAGGGATGATTCTTCTACAACTTATTCATCACTAATATGATGCTATCGCCATTTAAACGGCCCTATCACCGACAAATGAAGCATCACTTGAATTAGGTCGCCTCCTCGCCATTCGATTTCTTTGCGCATGACGTCAGCACACAAATACACAAAATTCCAATCGGTTTCAAATTAACACGTGGTCAAAACACGTGTGGAGTTTTCGCAAAAACATGAGAGTCCGGTGAAAAAGCACAGGAAACAACAGAATGATGTTACATTTATTTACTGATAAGGAAAACAACTGTCGAAAGTGGCCTCTATGCTCATATGAGAAAAAAATTGGCAGCATCACCACACATGATTTGTTCATGTGATAGTTTGTTTGTGTATTTGTGTGCTGACGTCATGCGCAAAGAAATCGAATGGCGAGGAGGCGACCTAATTCAAGTGATGCTTCATTTGTCGGTGATAGGGCCGTTTAAATGGGGATAGCATCATATTAGTGATGAATAAGTTGTAGAAGAATCATCCCTTTACTGAGTTCTCGCGTCTCGGAACATAGATCCGCAAAATAAAGTTGTAAAAGGTAGGCAGAGTCGCGACACCAGCTGGTGTCGCTGAATTCCCACTTTTCAATATGGCCTCCGCTCTGACTCTCCCCTGCACATGTCAAAATATAAAAGCAGGGGTTAGAGTCAGAGGAATCTCGGATCTCCCCTGCACATGTCAAAATATAAAAGCAGGGGTTAGAGTCAGAGGAATCTCGGATTAATCAAATATTTATCTTTCAAATTGTTTAACTTTGTGTTGCTGGAATTCAGTTGAACCTGACTATCCTAAGAGCAGACTATTATCCCCTCTTAGGGTAGCAGTACAGTAGAATAGAGGCGATAGGAACAGAGAAGTGGTAATGGTGGGGAATGTTGGACGCAAGCGCCCCCCCCCCCCCTTGAAGAAACACTCAAAAATATCATTTTTGAAACAGAGTAAATCATTATTCATTTGTTTAAAGTAACACTGCCAGATTTTCTTTATTTTATATGTGAAAAATGACTTCAAGGATGCACCAGAATGTATATTCATTTATTAATGATTTTAATTTAAGGATTGCACAGGATTGAGTCCTGGAAAAATCGTGTGGGTGGCATATGCCCCCCCCCCCACAAAAGGTATAAGTAACACAGGCACTTGATTCGATTAAAAAAAATTAACCCATAGTATAATAATATTGCGTTATTACTATACTATGGGTTAAAAAATTTGTTACTGAAACAAGTGCCTGTGATAAGTAATTAGTAAGTAAAAATACTAATAAAAGTACTTCATAACATACTAATTGGTACAGTGTGCCCCAAAGAGGCATATTAAGTAAGAAGTAAGTACAAGTAAACCCAATTTTATTAATACACCAATTAGCACAGTTATCATACATGTAAGTACATGCATCATACAACAAAAATATGTATGTATACTTATCCTGAAGCTTTTTTGACATTTAAATCTTCTATTTAGAATTTTATTGATTTTTTTTTTAAATTGGGCAGTTGTGGTACACTACCCCCATTTTATATCCTTTTTCTTTTGCTAATAAATACATTTTATCATTTCATATAAAGACTTCAAAATTATCTTTGGTAGACCCAGGATTTTTTTTAAAGGGGGTTCAACAGGCTAATAATGGGGTCTGAGCCAGTGAGGGCCACCTTGTGGCCCAGTGGGTAAAGGACAAAAGCCCCTTTAAGCTCCCAGGATTTGGGTCCTTTTTAAATCATTTTTGTGAGTTGTGTTATGTATATTTTATGTATAATAAAAGCAATTTCTAACAAAAAAAAATAATGATTATTTCACCTTTACTTAATTTTGGCACACATGAGGGGAAAGGGGTCTATAGAAACTGTTTTAAGAACAGTTTTTTTACTGTAATAGAAATTTCATATTCATCCAGGATTTTGGTTTCAAAATACGAATAATAGATTTACCTCCTAAAATTATGTTTCTGGGGAACATAACAAATTTTATTTTAATGCTTTTTAGGCAGTGAAAAGGAATTATACACTTAAAGACCTTGAAGACTCAGATTCATATTTGAGTTGTTATTTATATAATTATGATATATGCTGATAAAACAGATTATGACATAATATTAAAAAATCATTTATACCAAAAAATTATCAAATGTAGTACCTCAGAAAATTACATGTATTAATAGCCAAATTATTGTTACTACAAAATAACATATCTTAACTTATAATAGAGAGGTTGAGATTTCATACGTGTGCGTGTACGGGTACGTCTAGTAGGGAAATTCCCTAAATCTATTGCGTATTACGTCATCAGTTTTGGTGTTGATAAGTTTTCTACACGTTCCAACAACTTGTACAAAGGCATCTACACGTACGTGTAAACTTGTAGCTTTTTCAATCAAAACTAGTAAATTTATGTGTGAAACTGTTATTGTTGTTAATTATTTAGGATGTTAAGTTTCACAAACACTTATTTTAACCATGTTTTGTTCACTAACTAAAGTCAAATGAATGTCACAAAACTACTAAACAGTTGAAACACAGACACCGATTACAGTCTACACGTTTATGTTACACGTCATTAAAATCTCAACAGACAAATTACAAAAAACGTGTACGTGTACGTCAAAGTTTGTGCACACGTACACGTACGCGTACAAGTTTAAAATCTCAACCTCTCTATTATGCAAGCGCGTCGTATAAAAAAGGGGAAAATAATATACAAAAGACGTATAAAACATAAAAAAAAACAGCTGCAATTGATAGTAAGTAACAGATTTATACTTACGAAAAAGGATCCAAAGCACTTCGAGGCGTCTGCCATCGTCTTCTTTTTTGGTTCTCCAGGTCGACCGGAAACCAGGCAACTTATTGCCAGACAAACATGAGTCATTTGTAGACCATGAATTTTCGAAATTTTAAATACTGAACTCACGAATGAATGAAAGGTAAGAAAATATAGGAAATGAGTAAACTAAATGGGATATTAATTAAAACTATTCATATATAGCTGATTTTGTTTAATATTGCACTTTTTCTCTGGGCGACTTAATAGATATATATATTCCTATGAAAATATATGCCGGGTTATAAATAATTTAATTATTTCTCGCTATGCGAATAAAAAATGCAGAAATTATAATTGCATTGAAAAATATAATTACGAAAGAGTCTTATTTCAGGACATCAGTCATCTTACCACAAAGTACACTGCCTTAATGATCAGTTAAAATATAAGGGAGACCGGAAAAAGTCTGCTTAATCCATCGGGATCCTAAACCGATATATAAATGCTTAACTGGGTTCCCTAACCAAGAAGTCCGGATTATATATATATATATATATATATATATATATATATATATATATATATATATATATATATATATATATATATATATATATATATACGTGTTTTTTTTTCTTCACTTAAACGGCTCGGGTACAACCGATTTTGTCGGAAAAGTCCGAAAAGGAATATTGATCCCAATGCATGGGAAGTTTACTTTGAAAGAAAATATTTATATTTTGTCATAAATAATCCTTTTTAATAATAATAATAAAAAAAAAAACTTACAAGACGTAGTAAACACAGACAAAAGGAGTTTACTGAAAAGTGTAATGTTATAAGCAGAATGAAAAAAAAAAAAAACATTTGAAAGGTGATAAACTTGTAGAATAATTATAACAAAAAAATAAAACTCCGCTCGCCCAAACGGTTTCACCGTGGAACATACATGTATTTACTAAATTTTTTTAATCACATTATGCAAAGAGTGATGATTTGAAAGAAAATTAAAATCCTCACTACTTGTACATCCTTATGTTTCATTATGTTTAATATAGTTTGAAACAGAAAGAAATGAAAAGTGATTCAATACTAATAATGTCGTTGAAAATATTGAAAGCTATTGGCACAGATCTCTCTTTCTCCTCCTTTCTCTCTTTCTTCTTGAACTGCTTCGTTCAATTAGTACATTGTTTGCCTTGTGAGGGAACAATTCTACGATTGCGACAATGTGACTCAAAGTTTTGTAAAAAATTGAAAATATTTTTACGTATAAAACTCAACAGTGATCATGGATCTTTCGGACACTTTATGTCCATAAGTTGAAATTTGTAGAATTAAATAAATACTTAATTTTATATGCACTACAGAAGAGGTCATCAGATGTTACACAAGTCTATAAAGGCAGAGCATCCATATAAAATTATGTTTCATAAACTTCAAATTAATTCTCTTTTCCTACAACAATCAATCTGAGTTGCATTTAACAAACTATATGGATGGACAAAAAACTACGGAAGTGGGGAAACTTAATTAAAACATTGTTGTCTATCAAAAATGATCTTGGTGATCTAAATTCCATTGTCTTTATTGTCTATACAATATAGTTATAAAGTTATAAAAATTAAAAAAAAGTTAGATATACTTATTAAAACATACTTTTAGGGAATTAAAAAGATAACAGATCATGATGTTTAGAAATCCTAATTCATATAATTACCCATATCTAGGCTAACACCAAATTGTCAATAGTGCAAATAATCCTTTTTTCACTCTAAAGTGGAAAAATTCAAACATTTTTGTCAATATGACAATGATGGCGTAAATTGCCGCAGCTTTATTTTTTAATCGTAAGTGCTCTTGTGTTATTTCATTCCTCCAATAATTAAAAAAAAGTTCTTACTCTTATCTGATTAACATCTTCATTAGATATATCAAATAATGAATTTGAACATGTATAAACAAAAACATGCGCTTATTTAAATAAGAAGTACTCAGGAACATACATGTATGCCTTGGGGGTATTCAACTTGTAATTATGCCGAAATGGCAAAATACCTTTTCCTTAATAAAAAGATGCAAAGACAAAGAACTCAATCCATCGAGGATTTCATGCACCTTCATTTTTAACATTCAAGTCATATATATTTTTTTTTTTATTGTTTTACATCATTTTATCGCCAAGTCTTCTTTACTTTCACAAAAGCACGTTTTCTTGGTAGAGCAGGCCCTAGTGAATTTTTTCTAACAAGAACAACATCTTTGCTTAAAGTCGGGGAATAACTCTTCAACGATGAAGAAGGAATCGACCCATCTTTTTCCACCCTACTCTCGATAAGTTTCTCAGAAAGAATTTTTATGACTTTCTTATACCCCCCTCTGTTAGCAATATCCAGTGCAGTGAGGCCATCTTCCGAGCGAATAGATACGTCTGCTCCATATTTAAGAAGTACCTTCACAGCTTTTAAACAACCATGATAGCATGACTCATGGAGAGCAGTCCGTCCATATTCGTTGCGTATATTGACGTCAGCACCATGTTCTAGGAGGAGAGGTAATACAAAAAATCCCTCGGAGTACATAGCAGCATAATGTAGAACATGCTCTCCATCATTATCACGCGCATTGACGTCTGCGCCGTGATCAACCAGTGTCTGTATCATCTCTTTCGTTATAAAAAGTTTTTGTAGGGCCATCATCATAGGTGTAGTTCCCTTCTGATTGCAAACATTCACATCGGCTTTGTTATTAAGTAAAACAGACATGCATTCAGCATTGGAGTTATAATAAGCACTTGCATGCAGAGCCGTGTTACCATCATTATCTTCTGAGTTAATATTGGCTCCGTATTCTATAAGTAGCTTTACTATGCCCGCTTGATTTTTTTCAATGGCCTTCATCAATAGTGTTTCAGCAGTAGGGCCTGAGGTATAGCTGTTTATTTCAGCACCATGTTGTAAGAGAACTTTTACTATTTGATAATGACCTTCCTTGACAGCAGCGGAAAGTGGAGACTCAGCTAGAGAACCATCAGAATCTTTCGGGTTGACTTCGGCTTTGCTCTCTAGAAGAATATCCACGACTTCCTTGAATCCGGCAGAACATGCCAAAAAAAGAGCAGTTATACCATAAACTATAGTATGCACATCAGCGCCACGTTCCAACAGTAGCAAAGCCGTTGAGAGACGGTTCCCCTTTAAAGCTTGTTGTAAAGGCGTATAACTCTCATCATAACCATTGTTATTTATGTCCATACCATGATCGAGTAAAAGTTTCACAATGTCTGAATGACCTCTGAAACTTGCCATGTCTAATGCATTTTCATCTTCCTCATCTTTGCAGCTGGTGTCAGCCCCATTTTTCAGCAAAATTTTAACAACGTCTGTCCACCCTCTCCTTGATGCATTCATTAAGGGAGAGCGTCCTTCGTCGTTTTTTTCGTTGATGTTTGCCCCGTTTTCTGCAAGCAATGCAACAGTTTTATCGTATCCAGAATATAAAGGGGCTAATAGGGGATTTCGTGAGCTGTCTTCCTTATCTTTTGCACCTTGACTCAATAGTTCTTGAACAATTTCATGATGACCAAATTCTGATGCAATAAAGAGTGGGCTCTTTCCATACTTTGTACATGAGTTTACGTCAGCTTTGTTTACTAAAAGGATTTTTACAACTTCGACATGTCCATGCTCTGAAGCAAGAAAAAGAGCAGTGGCTCCCTGCTTGTTAGACATATTTATCTCAGCCCCATGGTTCACAAGTTCCTGAACAACATTTTTATGTCCACAACTTGAGGCCCGCATCAATGGAGTAATATAAGTTTTTGTAGAAGAATCAATTCCAGCGTTGTTCTTAAGTAGCAGCGACACTATATCAAGATGACCTTTCTCCGCTGCAAAGTGCAGTGGAGCTTTCAAAAAATCGTTGGCTTGATTGACATTTGCTTTATTTTTCAGTAGAAGCTGAACGGTTGAATAGTGGCCATTTTGCGATGCAACAATTAAGGGAGTGTCTCCTTGTTTTGTTTTCAGATTTATATCCAAGCCACAGTTTAATAATGCTTCTAATATTGAGACGTATCCACGAGCGGCTGCTGAATACAAAGGACTTATAATATTATTTTTCCGAACGACATTCACGTCAGCTCCATTTTTTATAAGCATCTCGACAATTTTTTCATGGCCATTATCAACAGCCGCGAAAAATGCCGTTGTACCACTTATTAATGTACAATTTATGCAAGGATTGTGCTGAAGAAACATTTTGACAATGTTTGTATGGCCATTCTTACATGCTGTGAAGAAGGGAGAGTATCCTGTCTTTTCTTTGAGTTCATCACCTGTTCCTTTGGAGAGTAAAAGCTCGACAACAGTCTCATATCCTTTTAATGATGCAAAATATAACGGCGAAAGTCTTCTTGTGGTCTTCATATGTACATCTGCACCTTTGTCCAAAAGCAACTTGACTATGTCTAGGCTGCCGACTTTGGAAGCAAAATGTAAAGCAGACATTTGTTCCTCGCCAGTGTCATTGACATTTGCACCACTCTCGAGCAAAATTTCAACAATCTCTTTGTTTTTTCTCTGACAGCTATATGCAAGAGCTGAGGGAAATTTAACAGGATGGATATTTACATCTGCACCTTTCTGAACAAGTAGTGTCAATATTCGCATACGTTTTTCCTCCAGCATTTCGTCAACATTTTCATCAAATTTACTGCATTCCTTGTTCCATGTCCAGGGGATATTCTGGAGAGTGTATCTGTCGGCTGCAGCTGCCAAGAATAAAGGCGATTCATAGTTTTTCGTAACTATGTTAACATCACATTCACCATTTAGAATGAGCGATAAAATGTCAGTGTGAAGGAAGTTTGCAGCAATGTGAACCGCGTATATATTCTCCTGTTTACTCCAGCATGCATTTCTGAAGTCTGTCATTTCCATAATTTGTGCGACGAAATCTGTTCTCCCATTGACACAAATTGCGCTTATCATTGGGGAATTCTTAAGATATTCAGAAAAAGTCCTTTTCTCCCTCACCAGAGCGAATATTGCTAAAAATAAATTCTCTATATTTAAGACAAGTGCAAGGATAATTGGTGATATCTCATGGCACAGTGGAATCAAGTCAAATCTAGAAAATCCTCGTAATTTCCTCTGCAAAACTGGTCCCAGAACCGGTAAACAATCATATTGATTCAGTTTGGAGCATAAAAGGACTTTTTCTATTTCATCTTTAGATTTAGTCTTTAAGCGTATTTGTAGCTTTGTCAAGACTCTTTCATCCTGTATCCAAGGGCTAAGAAATATATCTAAATATGTGCCATTTTTAATATCTTCCTCAATTCTTTCAACAAAAGGATCAATAAAACGGTCTTTCAGTTGAATTCTTGGGAAGACTTCGTTTTGTTTGATTGAAGAAGTGGTCAACGTGCGATAGAAACTGCTTTTGCAATATTTAAGAAACTGGTCGGGAACATCAGTACAAAATATACTAGTCAAGGCAAGCAGAAAAGAGTCATCTGTTATTTTGAAAGTTTTGTTGACTCTTCGTACAAAATAATGACCCCGGAGAGATTTTAAATATTGATAGAGTGCAATCTTTGAGGTGTTCTGAGGAAGATTAAATGTTGTCAATAGATCATTAAGAATTCTGTCGTCGATATCATCTATGTCCTCATCGAAATGAGAGTTTTCATAATCATCAAAATTGTCGTCATCATCGTCGTCTTCATCATCATCGTCACCTTCATCATCACTATCGTCATCATCATCATCGCTACATTCTTTGTCTTCTTTGCATTCTTTATTTTTGCTATCATCATCGTCTTCCTCCTCTTGACATATGTTTTCGTTTTCGTTGTCTATTTTTTCAATATCAGAATCTTCGTCATTTTGATTTTCCAGACTTTCACTTTCTTGTTCTTCATCATCAAAACTGTGCTTAGATAATTTATTTCCATGCAAAATCAACAAGAGGAGACACAGATATTTTTCTTTGGAATTTTCTTTCAACAATAGAATCTCTCTTTTCAGTTGCTCAAAGGGTTCTCTAAAAAAATTAAGTACATCTTCCTGAAATTTTTTGTTGTTAGAAACTGTACTGGAAATCAGAGGAATTGAATTTTCCGTTTTAATAAGCTGGTTGATTTCACTACCTTTAAGTTTTAAACAATCTATATGCTTCTTAAGAATGTCTTCTTTTTCTTTTTCTGTTAATCTTGCATCATCTCCGTCCAGATTGATAATAGTAAACCCATTCATGAGGAATTCCATTTCTTTTTGGAGAAGATTTGATCTGCAAGTCACAATTATTTTTGGAAGTTTTACTTTCGACTTTTCTTCTTTATTTATCGAAAAATACTCATCCAATATGTGCTTCTGTAAATGCCACATTCTGCAGGATTTTTCATCTAAATCACTTTTTCCAATAGGATCATTGATAACGAACAGAACAGACTCTGTTTTTACCTCTGCCTTCTTGATATCGTTTAGATTCCTTGCTTCTACAATTTGCCAATCCTTTCTCCAAAATTTCAGAGCGATGTGTTTGGCAATAGCTGATTTGCCACACCCTGCTCCTCCAAGTAAGACAATTTTATTAAGATATAATTTAGATTCTACCAGTCTAGAGGCTCTGGTTGGTACAAACTTTTGGTCCTCCTCCGCCCAATGATTCAGCCACCGGGACTCCGATCTATCTTCCGCTTCTTCTGTGTCTGAATCGGCAGACGACATGTAGTGGCCACAGCCACACCGTGGCATCCTGGATTTGATTACAAGTTCGAATTATCTCTATTGATTTAGGTAACCTTTATGTAAACTTCTTTTCCTGTAATAAAGAAAATTGATAAAAAAAACTTTTCGTTTTAAATTGATGATAAATAGAAGCATGATGTATTTTGTTCAGCAGGTAAAAAATTTATAACAACATATGTGAATATTTGGATTTCAGATAAATTTCAAGGTTATATTAAGAAATAGAGTAAATAATGAGCTTAATATAAACAACAATATGCAAATGATAACCTTCCATTCTTGAAAGCTTAAACCTATTCATGTTAAACTTATTAGGATGAGAAAATTGGTAATAAGAGATTCAAGTCATCTTTAGTGTTGAAAGCGCATTGTCAAATGTGCTTAACTAATTGCTCGTTTTCTTTTTCAGACATTAGGTTTAATACGTGTACACCGTCATATTTAGTCATAGATATTTCGGCTGCCCCTCCTTTCCCATCCTCCCTAATAAAATATCTGTGAACATGCATTACGGAGACTAGAAGATGTTTTAAATTCTGTCTTAGCATTTAACTTGTCTTATCAGTCATGAACTTGTCCATCCATTGCCCACTTTGACTAATGCATCTAGTATTTCGAAATAATGATCGTTATTTTATTTTGTACATTATAAAATGCTGAAAAACGCTTTTACTTAAACTTTATTTATAGACAATAAGAATTGTTGATAAGCAAAGATAAGATAAATATTCAAAAGATTACTTACATATGCAGAGTCCCAGCATGAAGACATATTTTTTGTATCAAATATTCAAAGATATAACATGTAAGTAGGTCATACCTATTCATATCGATTTAGTATTACTGGTGACATGTCGGTTTCTAATACACATTTTAAATAGACCATTTTAAAGCAACAGCAGGATTTAAGCTATTTGTAAAGAAGTTAACAGAAATTAAAAAAAAATCTGTATATAGGTAAGGTCAATCATTGTAGTGAAATTATATGTGTCTGTCTTAACAAGGCACATTTTATAAAACATAAATGTAAACTACAATACATACATGTATTTCTGCCATGCAATTTTCATACGAAAATAACGTAGAGCATACTTTAGATTTTAAACTCTTTTTTTTAAACGATAAGAATATGAACCTTCATCAAGGGAATTTTAAAGCAATTTATGCTAATTGTTGATTAGGTTAAGAAGGACTTTGAAGTTTGAAAGTTCAATTTAGTCGGCGTATTACTGGTATTTGTACAAGGATTAAACTCTTTGCAAGAAAATTATGTGCTTGTATTTCGGCTTTCAGTTAACATTCATTCTACAGGAAGCATTAGTTTCGCATATTAAGACACGAAAACTTGAGTTAAGTGTATAGAGACAGGAAAAATATTCAATATAATAAACTATTTTAATCTAAAGAATGATTATCTTAAGCAGTAGTGACTTTTTAAACGTTATAACATATAACATGTGTCAGATATTTGTCCATTTTTTGATTAATGGTTGTTGATAAAACCTACTTAGTCATACTACCTACTCGTATGTTTTGCAGCAACAATACAACGAAAGAAACATGAGGCTTATGGGCCTTAACGGTCACCTGAGTATACAGTCTCTGAAACGTTCTGCTTTCCCATTTTTCCGTACACTCACCGTTCGTTCAGCGTGCGTTCACCGTTCGTTCAGCGTGCGTTCACCGTTCGCTTTCCGTTCACAGTTTTGCGTTCAGCGTTCACCGTGCGCTCGCGTTCACCGTTCACAAAGCGTTCAGCGTTCGCTCTCCGTTCGTTCACTTTGCGTTCACCTTGCGTTAAGAGTTCACTTATAGTTCAGTCTTCAGTGTCATTCGGAACACCGAAGTGAAAGGACTTATCTTTTTATTAGTAAGGATTTACAGCTTTTTTTAAATTTAATAATTAACATATCGTCTTTAAAGAATCATTATCTCAAAGGAAAAAAATTATCCACAATATTCTAACTTATAACTTTTTTTTAATAATTTCTAACTTAGCTGTTAGGTAATTTACTCTGAAAAATAAATGTTGTTATAAGTATGTACCTATGTAGAACGATGATGAAAAATTAAATTTAAATACGGGCAATATTTAGATACTTCAAGCACTGCAACATTTTGTTGTTATGTGAAAGACGGCAAATCGTTAATGGATAGATAATTATCCAAGTCAATTAATTTACAAGCTGCAGCAAAATTACGAAAATATTTATTTCTAACACGTTTTTTTAATTACTACAGAAATAGATGATAGACCTAGTTCTGAGAATTATACATAGTACTGCGGATATCCCGTTAATTAAATATCTTTGGAGCGAATTGAATTGATAGTGTGGTTAAAAAAATATTTATTTAAAATGTAATACACTACAGGACTTTCTCTTCTATAATATATGAAGTCTATAGTTATAGAGAAAATAAATTATTCCTTCACCGTAACTTTATATGTTTGCCATTCGATATGATTAAGAGCCCCCCGCCCCCCCCCCTAAAAAAATCGATTACTTAGTCAATATTTCCAGTATATTTTAATTAACATTTAAAAAGAAGTTAATATGTTTTGTAGCACAAAAATTGCAGTCTCAAAACAACATGCATCTAAAAAAAGTTCATTAAACAATAGTGGTTCAAAATATACACGTGTCGGCGGTGGTAATTTAAATTGGCAGAGAGTATGGTTCAAATTCAAGTGTTAATGCCCAATGTATTTTATTTATGTATTTAATGTATTTGTTTTTTTTTTTTAGAAATGTTGGAATCAAATCTAGGAATGATAAAAAAATGTTAAAATTTGTTGGAAATACTAGCACTTCGTCTTCGGTGTGACGAGACTTTCACACCTGCACATCGCTATTAAAACATACTTTAAGGAATTAAAAAGATAACAGATCATAACACTGACAACTGGTCAAAAGGTTAAAGTGTGCGTTTTATTTTGACGTCACAAACGTTGAACGCCCTGGAAGTGCAACGTCATAAGCGAAAATAAAAAATCACTCTCACATTGAACAGAAGCTGTTGCATTAGCTCTTCCATTAACTGTTACGTACCTGAACGATAATTGTGAATTTAAATCCTTGATACATCAACATTGCAGTTAAAAAAAACATTCAGAAATAGTTTTGTCAGAAATATTGCACTAATGCAGCTCCACTTTTCATCTAAGAATTTAACTCTTAAAATTTTTTAAATCATAATTTTAAAAAATACATGTTGTTTTATTCGAAATGATTGTGTCATGAAACATTCTTGTAAATTGAGAGCACACATTTTCAAAGAGATCAGAAACATATTGGAAACATCTGAATGAATAAAAAATGGTATGGTCAATTAATCCGGAAAAAACTTCTCATTGAAATTAAAATTAATTTACAAGTGATTTCGAAGATATATACTTAAGTTGTTACTTTCCTTTTTCTTCTTTTTTTAAAAAGAATTTCTAAAGGTTCAGGATTAGCAAGAAAATGGTTCATTAGATATTTCTTGTGTTTGTTGTACATGTGTATTATTTCTAGACAAACCTGCAATGTGGCCTCTTTTGGAAAAATGTCAAAACTACATTTTTTTTCGTCCTAGATTCTCTTATATTTATCAAATTTTCTTAAGGCTCTGCATTGTATTACTTAGTATAAAAAGATGAAAGGTAAAACCCTAAAGAGCTTACACTCTTTAACTTTTTTGAAAATGTCTATATATATATATAAATATATATATATATATATATATATATATATATATATATATATATATATATATATATATATATATATATATATATATATATATATATATAAACATGTCATAATAAATCAGGGTTGATCAAAACAAGGAGATTTTCTTCACTCTACCTGAAGTACCAAGATCAAAATAACTTTATTCAACATTTATAACTCTCTTCAATAGTTATAACGATGAAGAAAAAGTGTAGTATTTTCTATGTGTACATTGTTGTGCTTCTTCTATGATAATATATATTTCTACAAATAATTGCAGTAAATAATTGTTGACGTATTTTTCATACTAGGCACGAAGAAGAACAGTATATAAAAGTTAAAAATTTGGTTAAATTGTCAGATTGTACAGAATGGGTGTAGATTTCACTTTAGAATTTTATTCAAAATTCTGTTAATAAGATATTGTATAATGCTAGTTACTTTGTGACCATTAAGTTTACCATTTTTACCAAATTATTAAACTGCTGACAGTGAAAAAGTCATTTGTAAGCGCTAGACATTGACCCACTTAAAATAATTGTTTATTCGGACCTGCTGTAAACTACTTTCGATCCTTACGTCGCGGGTTTGAATCTCACCGGGGGACGTGGAGACCGGTCCTTCGGATGAGACCGTATAAACCGAGGTCCCGTGTCACAGTAGGTGCTGGCACGAAAAAGATCTCTCATTGCTCAATGGCCTTGAGTCCCGAGGATAGGTATAAAGAAGAAGGTAAAGTTTTGACTTTATTATGCCCAAAAAATTTAATGTCTTCAAAAGTTTTTAAAACTGGCTTAAATATTAGTTGAGTTTATGACTGTGATAAATCAGTCAAATATAAATCATGAAGGAGTACCATTCTGGAAATATGACGTCATCAATTTGATGCATTTCTCTGTTTTAAACAAAAAAAGCCTCAAAATGACCCATTTCAAGGGTTATTTTCCTTAAGAAAATAGTGTTCACAGCCGTCGCCCACTACAATTTCGGATATGTTGTGTAAAAGACTTTGAAAAATCACATATCTCAAAATCTTTGTGGGCGATGCCTGTGGACAATATCATCTATAAGAAATTTCCATGGAAAATTTGCGTCTTTTGCAACTTTTTAAGAAAATACGGGAAAATGCACATGTTTATGACGTCACAATTAGCATTTAGAAGGTCATGTGAGAAAAATGATTTGCAAGATCTTTCTGCATGAATTTTCAATGATTCAGAAAGCATGAGTTTTAATTTTTTACATCACTTTCATTTGTTAAGAAAAACACAGGGCAAGATTTGTGTTGAAACCGTACCTTGTTCTTTGCATCCCCCCAACCGGCAAGTGGTGGCGTCTCAATATGACTGAAAAATTTTCTGGGGACGTTGAAAAAAAACAAACATATAAACAAATAAATTACCTCTGAATTAGTCGATCCCTAGCTGCAATTGAAAGGCTTACATGTTCTGTCTCTTTTTTTACATTCACGGCTTAGCGTCATGAATTACAGAATAAAGGTTACCAGAAATTATACAGCTCTTTTATTCTAAATATAGGCAAGTATAATTTTTACTTGAATATTGTACACTTGGAGGTTGATTGTTATTAAATGACCTCTGTGTGTTAATTTTATGATCACCGTCATTAAAAATATGCTCACTCAACAAGCAGATAAACATTTATGGTGGTTGGTAATTTAACATTGTTTAAATTTAGACAATGCAAGTGTTTATTTTATCAATCCAAATCAAATTTATACCAACCCAAAAATGTGTCAAAGCTGATGTTGAACTATTGAACTACGCACTAAATATACAAATAAGAGAGAAATCAGAAGTTGGAGGACTGCCTCAATAAAATTAATACTATTTAGCGGTGCCTACACAATTTATAATGAACTTAAAATAATAAATTTAGATTCATAATTTATTTTTTACGAGGGGTGATCAAAAAGTTCGCAAACTAATTGAATTACTTCCATAAAAGAAATGAAATTAGGTTCCAGTGTTCATTGTTTTTCAAAGTAGTCCCCTCTGATTTTAATGCATACCTGCCACCGTTCTGCCCATGCGCGAATCACGTGATCCAGGCGGTCAGGTGACATGCTCCGTAGCGTTCTGTTCACAGAAGATAAAAGATTTTTACGAGTCTTATATTTCTTACCATGAAAGTCATTTTTTTTTTATAATAAAACGGCTCATTTGTCAGAAATGGCTATATCTCGGCAATAGTATGGATGGACAAGGATATCCTTTCCACGAATTAGCATGGGGACCATCACAACCCTAGTCCTCAGTCTTGGGAGCGTCGTTTATCCAATGTGGATAAAGTATGGGCGCCTTTTTTGTCATATCTTATATGTTTAAAGTCTAAAGTAAACGATATTTTAGGATTTTAATGACTATATTATTGTTAAGATATTCAACTATTTTTCTAACTTTAATTTGGCGATCTTTCATAACAAATTGCTCAACTGAGAACACATCTCTTCCCCAGGTTGCTTTCACTGGGCTACAGAACAAATATCATTTTTAAGCATTTCCCTTCCTTCACTAAAACAATCAATCCAATTAATTATAATGCTCCTGGCAAGTCTTTTGCCTTTATAAACCTTGTACAAATTATTATATTCTACTGCAAAGGAATTTCCAAGATATACGTTAAACTTTACAGCCGCTCGTTGCTCGAGTACGACAAAGTCAACCATTTTTGTAACAAGTCACCTACATATTGACGTCATTTTCACATTGTGACGCCACAAACATGGAGCAAAACATTATATAACATTTTCTATTTATATATCATGTGTATGACTATATGTGTGCCAAATTTCATTTTGATCTGAATCGTGGTTTTGTACATGTAGAGATAGTTCGCAAACTTTTTAATCACCCCTAGTAAATTTAAATGAAGATACTAATTAAATGTTTAGAAATTTATCCATGTATCCCAAGCAGTTTAGATTTTATGGTGCTAGTCCACAAACCTTTTGATTAACCCTCTATTGTCGGAGTTTGTAAATATTAAAACATCAAATATAATATAAATATAATAAAAATTAAAAAAAAACAAGAGAGAGAGAGAGAGAGAGAGAGAGAGAGACGAATGACAGCACATCTTTATCCTAAATAAATGCTTTTCATCAGCATAAAAACACATCCAAGTAAGTTACATTTTCGAATTTCATCACCTCTGATAATTTTTTATTAGTAGTATACAGTAAAACATGCTAACAGCGAAGTGCCAAGGACCAACTTTTTTGATTCGTTATAAAATTTATTAGCTATATCCTTTCATTTCGCAAAACGTTTTAAAACTACAAAGTATAGAAGCTTGTTTGCTATAGCTTGTTTGCTATAACTGTAATACAAGGAAAATGACAACAAGTCATTAAAGGCTTAAAAAGTTGTAAATTGGGGAAATTGGTTTCTTCAGCAGATTTTCCTTAATGCTAAAATAAAAAAAAATCAATACAAAAAGGACTCAATCACATTGTATCTTTTAAATACTAATCTTTTTTATTGTGGGTCACTATATAACTCTAAAAGCGACCACATATTAAATTTTGGTCCGAACCAGCCTATACTTTATTCTTTCGGGAACAAAGTTGAAATATAAAATGAACTGACTTGTTTTCTTCTTTATTTCAAAACGAATAGTCAAATTCATTAAACTATTGTCATCTGCTATTTAGAAATAATAAACCAAAAGATAATTTACAAATGTTTTTAAAAGGTACTGTCATTAGTTTTCTGCACATTATTTTCAATGGTATGCATGTATGCATCATGTATCGTTCTACTTTGAAACGATCTTCCCTTGTTGATCTATTTTTGAATTTTCAATTATCGCCTAACAGGTATCTTGTATGGACTTCGCTTTCTTGGTAGCGCTGGACCTAGAGGATTAAACTTGACCATCACAAGTTTTCGTTCAGGACAAACTGGAGGTTCTCGGTTGACATCCAACTCCGAAAAGTCCCGAACAGCCATATCTGGATTTTGAGTTTCTTGATTAACATCTAACTCAGAAGAATCCCGAATATTCAAATTAGAACTTTCTTCAAGTGTATGCATCTAATTTTTATTTGGACCCAATAAATGAGTTTCTTTTTCATGTCCATTTCTACTTGAAGTTAATAGCGGGCAAACCCCTTCTTTATCGCATAAATTCACATCAGCACCATTACGAAGTAGGATATCTATCACATTCAACTGAGAATTTTCTGCAGCTCGATGAAGAGCAGTCCTTCCGAACTTATCCTGTGCATTGACATCTGCGCCGTGGTCAATAAGAGCGCTTATTCGTTTATCAGAGGTTTTCTGTGTTTCCTCAGTGGCCACCATCAGGACGGTTATTCCATCTTTATTGCAGACATTCACATCTGCGCCTTTCTCTAGCAAAAGCAACATAAGGTCATCGCTAGATCGACTGTGAACACTAACATGCAAGCATGTGTTTCCATATTTGTTTTGAATATTAATTTTTGCTTTATTATCTATTAGTAATTTCATAATATCACAATGACCCTCTTTAGTTGCATGAAATAGTGGAGTTTCGCCGTCAAAATTTCTAGCATTTACTATGGCGTTGTGTTGGATCAAGGTTTTTGCAATTTCTAGCTCACCAATTTCTGCCGTTATGCTTAAGGGATCAGAAGACAAAGGTCTACCATCATATTCTGGATTTACCTCAGCATCCTTACTTAAAAGTATATTTACTACATCAAGAAAACCAGCTTGACATGCAAGAGATACAAGGCTCTTTCCATTCGCTATCACACTAACGTCTGGATTATGCGCTAATAAAATCAGAGATGTCTTTCTATTGTATGCCATTAATGCCAAGTGCAGTGCAGAATATCCTTCAATTTGGAGCTCGTTTATGTCAATTCCAGAATCAAGAAGAGTTTTGATAACATCATTACTACCGGCATGGCACGCATGATGGAGTGCATTTTCCATTTCACAATCTTTATAGTTCAGATCAGCACCATTCTTCAAAAGAATATCCATAATATCATTGAAATCTTGTCTTGCAGCAATGAGAAGTGGGGCATCGTCTCCGTCCACGTGTTGGTTCACTTTAGCACCATTTTGAAGTAGGATTTTAACCACATTAAGATTACCATTCCAGACAGCGGCAGATAGCGGTGTTTTTGAGTCTTCGTTTTGAATATCAACAACGGCATCGTAACGTGTCAATTCTTCCACAACTTCAACATGTCCCCAGAAGGACGCAATATATAATGGACTGTTCCCCCTAACTGAATGCAAAGTAATATCTGCTTTATTTCCTAGTAAAAGCTTAACAATGTCCACATGTCCATTCATTGAGGCATGTAGCAGTGGTGTACAATTTTGATCATCATGTTTGTTAACATTTGCGCCATTTTCTAGCAAACATTGGGCAGCTTGGGTGCAGCCATTTCTACATGCGTTTATAAGTGGTGTACGTCCTCTCTTTGCAGTCATTTCTGTATCAGCTTTTCTTTCTATCAACAATTTGATGATATCTAAATTTCCTAAACCAGCAGCCACATAAAGTGGATTGTCCATAGACCACCTGTCCTTTGTGTTCACGTTAGCACCATTTTCAAGAAGTAAACTTACAATGACTTTGTTGCAAGATTCGATTGCAGCAAGTAGCGAAGGGAGCGATTCCTCTCCGTTTGATGTCTTCATCTTTCCCTCTGTATATTTCAAAAACAGTTTAACAACTTTTTCATGGCCATTTTTACAGGCAATATAAAAGGGAGAATTCCAAGATAGAGTCTCCAACTCCTTATGCACTCCCTTGGATAAGAGAATCTCCACAATGTCACGATGGCCTTCTCGTGCTGCATAATACAATGCAGTCTGTTTTCTAACCGTATATAAATTGATATCGGCGCCTTTTCCCAACAACGTATTAACTATTTCAGTGTGCCCAAGCATGGAAGCAAGGAGCAAACCCGTGAATATAGAATCATTGCAATCGTCTTTATTAACATCTGCTCCATTTTCAAGTAGCAGTTGAAAGGGTTTGATATCAGTTTTGTAACAAGCATAAGCTAAAGGACTTGGAGTGAAAGTTGGATGAGTATTAACATTTGCTCCTCTCTCAATGAGTTCCTTAAGAGTTTTCAACAATCCGTCTTCATTTGTTATTTCAGTGCTTAATTTTGTAGGTGAGCTAAACAGGTCAATTATCTCACTGGAAATTGCTACATATAGAGGTGTTTCGTTCAAAACAGTGGTAAAATTAACGTTTTGATTTTCAATTAATATCTGCTGCAAAACTTCGTTATGATTGAAATTTGCAGCAATGTGAAGAGAATGTATCTTTTCCTCGTCATTCCACATATAATTTGGCTGGTCTTTCCCGTAAAATTCCAAAATTTTGGCGGCCAGTTCTCTTTTTCCATTTGCACAAACGGCACCCAACAGCGGTTCATTTTTTAGTATGCTGCTACTGGGTGTAAACAATCGAAGCTTTTCAAACATTGAAGAAAATATTCTGTGATGATTGAAAAGCAAAGACAATATGATTGGAGAAATTCTCTTTCCATAAATGATTAGATCTAATTTTGAAAATCCTCTCATATTACTCCGTTCCTTCTTCCTCCACACTTTTAATCCAGTTTCTTCTTTTGACAGTTCTGGAATCAATGCAAGCTCCATTATGTCCTCTGCTCTTTTGGCTTGTATCATATTCTCCATGACTTTTATCATTCTTTCGTCACTAGTCCAAGGGCTCAAGAACACATCAAGAAACGTTCCATCGAAAATGTCACTTGCTACTCTCTTAACATAGTGCTCGATAAAACTGCCTTCAAAGTATAACCTTGGGGGAAAATGCTGATCGGTTTCCTTTTGCTGATAATCGGCATAACAATATTTTCGAAAAATCACAGATTCACAATATTTAACAAACATCTCGGGTACCTGCTTGCAATATAGTTGTATACAAGTTTGAAATAACAAGCTGTTTTGAAACTGAAATGCACCATCTAAATTCTTTAGATATGGTCCTGTTAAGGTTTCTAAACTGTCTATAATAGACCGTGGAGTAGTAGTTTCTGGAAGTCCAAACACCTTTAACATATTTAGAAGACTCTCGTTGGTGATGTAGATTCGTCTATCATCAATTTCATCATCAATTTTGTCATTCACCTGTTTCTTTAATGCACAATCTGAGAGAAAGTCGTCCTCCACTATCAAGTTATCCCCTATCGTTACTAGAAACAATGCCAGATATTTTTCTCTAGCGACATCTTTTAGCTGAAGAATTTCGTTGCTGATTGAATCGCAAGGAGTTTGAAAAAATGTCTTCATGTTTTCTTGAAAAGTTTTATTACAGGCAAGAGTTTGACATAGCATAGGAAAGGCTTCGTTTGATCCCAGAATTGCCTCAATATCAATTTTATCTAAGCTGGAAATATTTACATGACTTTTCAGAATTTTCTCTTTTTCGTCATTTGTTAATGCTAGGGAATCTTCATTGATATCGATGACTGTGTAATGTTTAAAAAGTGACATATTGTTTCTGACTATATCTGATCTGCACGTCACTAGAATTCTTATATTTGGTGCAAGCTTTCTTCCAGTATTTCCAAGCCTTAAGAAATGGTCCAGTTGCTCTTTCATCGCTCGCCACCACTGACAAGCCAATGGATCAAGTTGAGACTGTCCTACCGGGTCGTCAACAACAAATATATCCACATCAGTTCCAATCTTGGTTGGAATTCTTTCAGGTATGTCGTCCAAGGCATTGATATATGAGATTTCTTTCTTTTCCATGGCATACTTGATGGCGATATTCTTTGCAATGGCAGATTTCCCTGATCCAGCAGATCCAATTATCAATATTCTATCATGTATTCGGACTTTTTCAGAAATAAATTTGGACGCCTTTGTTGGAACGAATCGCCGATTTTCGTTTACCCATTGTTTTTGAGTTGGTTCCAACTTGTCCATCCAACTGAATTCATCTTCACTTTCCGAGTCGGACATCTTTACTTCTTTTTAAGGCGACGTCTCCTCCGTGTCAATAAAATCTTCCTTTAATGTAAAATAAACGCCATGTCATCCTGGAAATAAAAATACTCATAAAAAATGCTTGTGTCATTTATAGTAATCTCATTCTACTATGTATGTTTTTTGTTTTTTAATTTTCTTTAAATTATTAAAAGATATGAAGCCAACTTACCCATGCATGTCTTTTGCTTGAATAATATATATAAACGAGGGCGTAAAACCATCCAGTACAATAGCAAGTGCATTTAATCCTTTGTTGATATGTAGATCAAAATTAAATTCCCGCATAATAAACAACGCCAAAACAGAGTATCGAGTTCTACCTGAATTTCACTTCAGTGCTATGATTTAGACTCTTTCGTTAATCGTCTTATGCGTAGGTGATCGATTTTTAAATATTGACCTATATATTGAGCATCAAGTCGTTCGTATTATTTGATATATCTCGTTTTATTTATTGAATTTATGATTTAATATTGCTAGTCAATTACATTGTATAAAGGTCTGTGGGAAGCATTTGCAGTTTTTTTTTTTTGTAAATTAAGGGGGTATATGTGAAATTAAAAAAAAGGTCATAAAACGTTATTATTGGCGGAACACGACTGTTAAAAATTGTATTATATAGTCGCAAAATTGTTGGACCTGCAGGATATATATAGATTTCATTAAAACTTTTCAAATTGTTACAAACTCTGTTAGCTGATGATTTACTCATGCACATATGAAGTGAATGAACATTAAACAACAATAATATTTTTTTCTGTCGGTACATGATGAATCAAGAGAAATCGATGTGGATTTGATTTGTGCGAGAAATGATCAGGGCTGGGATTCATAAAACTTCTTAGTATATTCTTAAGCTTTAAAAATCACTTAAGTTATATATTTTATACTTAAGTCCCCTAAGTATTACTTAAATTTGGTAGAAATACTTAAGTGTAATGCATAAACATATTTAGTGCTTAAGTATTGACTTAAAGTTAAGTGTCCTCAAGAGGTGTCTTAAGTAGATAAGAAATACTTAAGTTTTCTTTATCAAAATAAAAATAATGTTTTACAGAAGTCATTTTAATCTTTCAGTAAGAAACCATGCTTTTAAATCCAACTAGAAACTTGTTTTGACTTTGAGATGTTTATCAACTAGTAAGATGCAGTATTGTGCAATGTTGATGCCAAAGCTGTATCAGTTGTGATGTAATACACATGGAACTAAATACCTCCATCACAAAAGAGTGCGCTTTTTGTTCGGGAAATTGTATGCATTGCTAGGGTTACCTAACTTAAGTGCTCTAATTTTCTCAGAATTAAACTTAGCTAAGAATTGCACTTAGAATTTATATGAATATGACTTAAGAATTTTTTCTTAGCTAAGAATTTATTGTATACTTAAGTGTGAAACTTAGCACAAATCTTAAGTATGTTTATGAATCCCAGCCCAGGCCCCGAGACCATAAACTGAGAACAGACTTAAGTCAAAATTTTGATTTTGAATATCTTGAGTTTTAGTTAACATACATACTTAAAATTTTGCAGGTTTGCATGGTAAGGTAAATAATGGAAACCTAAGAGGAATATTTCCTTCAAATAGGCAGATTTGTTTTTTGGCAAAAGTTTTATTTTGGTCACAAATGAGGTGTAACATGTGCGTTTTACAACAAATAATTAGATACAGCATATTTGTTAGATAAATAGCGAGGCTAGTTGATCAAACATTGAGTAGTAAATACCACTCCAAGTTACATACTTACATGAGAAGCCCTAAGTCTGGTCCTCAAACATGGTTTTCAATCTTGCATTGTAATGTAGTATTTCAGGTCCATGCACACGATTCAATCGAACATTAAAGCTTTAATATTAATAGGTAATTGCAAAATTCTTCAATCCACTGACGTTTCCAAAATAATGCCTGCCATTTAAAATCGGCTTAGTAAGAGAATGTGTTTGGAATCCGCTTTAAAAGTCTTTGGATTTTCTGTCAGTACACACAATATTAATAATATATTAATAGATATATAACACCCATTCTGTGCATATAAGCTGCCAAATATAATATTAGTTACCCGGTTATTACCATGTCATTACTAGGAGACTGTATACAAACAAGAACTTGTTTGAATAATTAATGGTTATTGATTAAATACACCAAAGTGCAATTCTAAAGAATGGTATTCTGGAAGTCTGAGAGAGAGAGAGAGAGAGAGAGAGAGAGAGAGAGAGAGAGAGATGACTACTAATTAAAGAGGTTTCATTTTACTCCACCTTTTCGATAACTTGCAAAAACATGTAAGAGTTATCGGTCTTTTCACACAAATCAAAAATGAAACTAAGTTGCATGTAGGGACAAAATTATTATTTGAAAGGTAAGCCTAATTAGTTATAAAGTAAGATTTACGGAATAATTTAATAAAATTCATATAAGGATCTGTTAACTGAACTGTTAACAGATCCATATATAGCTTTAGACCAGGATCAGTAACTTAAAAACTAGACAGACAACGTATCTGTGTTAAAAACATTTGTAAAATCGTTATTCACAAGTTTCCTTTTAAATGATTGTCATTTTTACATTAGTTGTAAATTTGACGTCAGTTTTCCACAAATCAAAATGTTGTTGAGATTTAATTTATAATAAATTAAAAATGTAAAATTTAGTTGGAAGCTTTCAGCATCGAGTAGATTGTGCATCTGATAATCTTAATCACTTCTATTTTCCGACTGAATATTAATTTTGAATTCTAAACACCTTTTTCTTCTTCAATTATGTTTTGTTACATGCATATGTATGTCAAATTTTGATTGAGTTTTAACCGTAAGAGCTCCTAGTCCATTGTAAATGTATCTTAATAAATTTGAAATTTCAAATGTTTAAAAAGCAAGATCCTTAGTCAAGAGAGGTAATCCAAATAATGGTAAAAAATTAAAATTAAAAAAAAAGAAACAAAGGAAAAGGGAAATAACATCGAAATCTCTTTACCCATGTGTGGCACTTAAAGAAATAAATGTGACAGCTTCCCGTGCATCTATACTTAATGTATACATTAACATTTGTGTACATCATGGTCCGTGGCCTTTTCAAGTCAAAAGTTAAATGTAGAAAAATATAGGCTTAATATATTAATTAATCAGATAGATATCTTAGTAAATACGTATATCTCACTTTTAGTCTTCATGCATAAGTATTTTTCTTAATGAAATCTCGATTTGATAACCAATGATACCCTAAGTAAATCATAAAATGTCAATATACGAGGGTTGCCCCAAAAAGTCGTAGACAATGTTTATATTAATAATATTATGTCGATACATAGGAAGGCCGATATGGTCTGTCGACGCACAAACAAAATCCGGAATAATTATCGTATGTAACTTTTCCAATTGCATTTGTTTCTCAGGTAACATTTAAAACATAAAACTCAAATTTATATCAGTGCAACCAAAAACAAAATCTTAATTTTTACATAAGTTGGATCAGAGACAGAGGATTGGTGTAGTAATTTTCAAAGTGTTGTTAGAATTGAGTTTGCTGAAAATGACGTCGTCAAGCGCGTTAGCGGCGCACGGGGATGTGATAAAATTGTTTAAATTGTGGTTTGCCTACTCCAAAGACTGAAAAAAGATGTAGAAGTGGCATTACACACTAGAACGGTAGCAGAGAAGTTGTTTGTATATGGCATAAGAGATTCAAGGACAGTTTTTTTCTCCCTACTGAAAATAGTTATAAGAAATAGCGTACTATTTAGTAAATTCAGACGGTGAGGAACGTTATGGGTCACGATCGACGTCAAACTATTCTCTGCTTTCTACGATGAAAGGTGACCTTTAGAGGACTGAAATTTGAATCTGATTTTTAAAAAAAACTATGGACAGCAGTGAATTTTAATGATTCTCTCAGTCAAGATGGTTTGCTAGTTTAAAAAATCAATAAGACGCATGTTAGGAACACGGGACAGTATTTAAAAATGATCATGACATTATAAAAGACGTAAATTACGCTTGCTTTCGATGTACACCTATATGCTACCTTCATTTTACATTATTTACTTATTAAATGTGTTATTATCATAAAATTTGAAATTCATGACCATTAAATGTTGCTTTTTACTATGACAAGAAAAGAAATTTAATTTGGCGAAGAGAAACTAAATTGGTTTCACTGTATTCGACTTTTTGGGACAACCCTCGTATTAGCACATTCAAATTCAAAATCTTCAATGCCCCTCCCACCAACAATAGATGGCACCACAATTATAGGAATATGCAAGCAACCTTGAGTAATATGGATTCTTATTTATTTAAATTGATTCTGTGTCAAAAATGAAGTGTGAGTTAGGGTTAAAAATTTTAGAAAACAAATCATTGTGAAATCTTAAGTGTCTCCTTCACAAGAGTAAAAATTGCCACATGTCCACCCAAACAGCTTTGTATATTATATTCGTATAAACTTTTTAAGGCCATTAGTTACTGGGGGCATATTAGGGTTTAATGATCATTTTTTTAAGGCACAAAGACCAAAAACTGCGTCCTAAAAGTGATTTCACTCACGTGACTATAAAGAACCACAGACTTTCTTTATTCATGTGAGTTTTTTTTTCTTTCCGTAGATAATAGAAAACATGGCCACCAACACCTACAAACCATTTGCTAAATTGGGACAATTCATCAAACAAATTTTTGAAGATGATGATGAATCAGATTCTCCAAACCTCCACCAACTTGCTAGAGCAGGAAACGAGGCTCAGCTACAAGAAATTATAAATAACGGATGTGACGTCAACCTGGAAGACAGTGATGGATTAACAGCACTATATATAGCAACGAAAAGAAGTCATACAAAAATTGTAGAAATCCTCCTTCAGAATGGAGCATGTGTCAATACAAAGCACAATCCTTTGCACATTGTTCGAGATTTGGCCATTGCACATTTACTTCTTCAAGCTAAAGGTGATCTTAACGCCAGAGACGAATATGGAAATACTCCTTTGCATAAAGCGATTATTGCTGGAAAGGAAAATTTAGTTGAATTTTATTTGTCTGTTGGAGCAGATATTTACCAAATGAATGCTAAAAAACAAACAGCTCTTCACACTTTGTGTTCGTCCTTTATGGAAGAACCTCATGGTTCAAAATTGGCTCGAACGCTTATTGAGGGAGGTGTAAGTGTAAACTGTAAAAACTGGTTAAATAGATCACCATTACACTTAGCTGCGATACATTACCACCTTGATAAACTTCAAACAATTTGTACTCTGATAAAAGCTGGAGCCTCTTTGTCGGATTTAGACTTGCAAGGATTAAACCCAATACATCATTACTTCGAACAATCTAGAGGGTGCTCAGATGATAAAGAAGAAGTATCGTTGACATTTATTGACTCTCTTATTGTTGACGAACAAGCAGCGGACCATCGAACTGCAATTGGCCAGACCATTTTGCATCTTGCCATACGAGATATACCACTTCAGATTCTGAAGCACCTTGTAAGAAAAGGATGTCAGCTCAATGCAAAGGATAGTCGACAACAAGGTCTTCTGCATTATCTAGTTGACAGGGATGATTCCACGACTATAATACAATACTTAGTAGACATGGGATTAGATGTAAATGATCATGATATTTGGGGACAAACTGTCTTGCATCTTGCTGTCGAGAAAAACAAGAAAAAACTTGTGGAGACTCTTGTTAGTCTTGGTGCCGAGGTAAATGTGAAGGATTCTATTGAGAGACAAGCAATACATATAGCTGCAGAACATGGTTGGGATTTTATCCTTGAATTTCTTCTACAAAAAGGGGCAAATATTAATTCACTAGATAAATATCAATCTACACCTTTACATTTCGCTGCTTGGAACAACAAGTCATCCATTGCATATACCCTTGTCAATTATGGCTGTGATGTTGGGTGCAAAGATGCACGTGGACAAACTGCAAAGGATGTAGCACAGTTCAGATCCAGTATTGACTTTCTTCAAATTCTTGATGAACATGGTCTAGAATATCAGAAGCATAAAGAGATGTCGTTTTCAAAACATGCTAATAAGTTGTTACATCTGAAAGATTTTCAAGATATCTTAAATTCAAATGAAACGCTAAGAGACCCTGAGAATCTTAATGAGTATCTTATCAATTTAATCACAACTTCGCCGACGGGAATTTTACACAGAGATTCTGAGGCTCTGGAGATTCATACTGCTGTCGATGAATTTGCAATTAACGCTGCAAAATGTCTTTCACAGAGTGATCCAAAGCTAGAGTGCACTGTGTATCCTGTTGGTAGTTCTTCTGAAGGGACTAAAACACTTTATCCAGACGAATTTGATTACATCGTTTGCTTTGAGAAACTCAGTGAGAATATCTATCCACGGCATGAAAAAGAAGATATTCAGGAAAGCATTTTTCTCATCTCGGATAAAGATACTGAAATGCGAGAGGTTCTAAAAGAAGGTGTCGACTTCGATGAAACACTCTACTCAGTATCGGACTATACTCGTATTTTTCTAAAGAAAGAGGCAATCAACACATACTCAGAACTCACTGAAATGGAATCAAAAATAGTTCCAAATCATACCATGTTCCAAACATTTACGCAACGTGTATCCAAAATTGTTTTTAATGAAAGTTTTCCGAAAGATGACCGATTACTGATAAAGGACGTGAGCAACGATCCAAAAATAGTATTGCTATGGAGAGGCTCAAAATACAAAAGCCTGGAAATCAATGTTGATTTTGTTCCAGCTGTGCGCCTATCTTCTTGGCCAAACAAATTGCGAATAAATTCAAAAATCTTTGGTCAGGATTTACTGCGATTGCCTTGTCTTGCTGTTCCAAAAATGACAAGTCAAGAAGATGAAAACCTTTGGAGGTGTTCCTTGTCGTTAGTAGAAATAGCAATAATGAAAAGATGTCGTCCACATATTCGAAATAGCTACATCGCTGCCAAGTCTTTGATCAGTTCAGCTGTTTGTCCCCTTGTTAGCTTTGGTGACTATGAAGAAGCGAAGGATTATTACCGAAGTCGCCACGACAGTATGTCATCTGAAGAAGAGTTTGAACTTTTCGAAGAATTGGGAGACATATTACCATCATACATATTAAAAATGGCGTTCCTTCATGTCATAGAAGAGAAAGCAACAAGAGATGGTGTCGAAACCGTCTTTGATGACGTTTTGTATGAGAGAGACCCAATCGATCAACTTATATTGACATCAGAGTCCATTGCACATTTTTCTAGAACCTTTGTTTGCAAGGAATGCGATCCAAATGTTGTAAAAGGCATTTTCCAAAAATGCCATGAATGGCTCTCAGACCAGTTTGTTCCATCTTTTTTCAATCCCCGGCACAATGTTTTGGGCTCAAGAATGCTTGATGAAGACGGTGTCAAAGTACAAAAATTTATAAAGTTCATCGTCAAACTTCTAGGAGAAAACTGAATACACAAACATGTATAAAATACTTTATATGTGGGGTGATGCTGTTTCATGTTGTTACATATCACATTGCAGCTGTTGTGAGTGTGAAGAGAAATAAATCATTGACCTGCTGGATTTAAGCTAGCTGTCATAAATGCTTTGGTACATGTTTTGACGTATTTTGTGTATTATGCACGAACTGTACAAAACTAATTCATTTTACGAAAACAACCGTTAAATATTGATAAAAATTCTTCTATCTTTTGCTTGTAATATTGTATTTTATTTCATTAGAATTCAAATACATAAGTAAAGTTGATACTTTTGATGCGTAAACCCTTGGCGCAGTCTTAAAATTTATACATGTACTTTCTTCCGTTATGGAACATAATTCTTAATTGCACCTTTCCAATTCCCTTAACTAAAGGTCAATTTTTAGTCAAATTTGAGTAAATGCAAAGCTTATTGAACAAATAATATTATGGAAATAGAATATCTAAAATAAATAAGTGATCATTATTGCCTCTGTTACATAGGAAATATCAAAAGTTGATAGTTTATCAACGTAAAAAGTATATTATTAAATGAATATTAAACTTGTATTACTGTCGAACTGCAGGACTAATTCATTTGTTAGAGTTATTGTTTCTCCGTACGTGAAAAGAAACATGTAATGCCTCACCAATAGAACAAAAAACTATACGACAAAAATGAAATAAAATACGACAATATGTGTCTTCATTTTGTAACGTATACCCCAATCCTTTACAAGATATTTACAAGATATTTTTGATTCTGTAGAGGCCTTTTTAACAAATACTTGAAATACATGTATATTTACAAAAGAAAGAGTTTCGACAAGGTAGTTTTTCGGCCCCTCAAGAAATATTATGAAATTTTGATATGTTGTATATTATATAATTAGGTATAACATACAGCACACATATATTTGATCAAATACAAATCAAAAAACACTGACTACAGCTTATTGTGTCCCATTCGAGAAGTTTTTACTCATATATAGACGTCACCATATGCCGGTGAAGCATTCCAAATCTGGACCTATACTCGGCACCAATGACTTTTGATCAGTGAGGGTTTTTTTTTTATCGTGCCAATGCTAACCGTGATTTTAATCTAACCCTTTCTTTATTCTTTGGTGACAGCTTCCTTTATTTGGTTATCCAACTGAAAAAAGTTTAATCATTTTCAAGAATTTTCAATCTATTTATAGAATAAGTAAGGAACAGTAGATGCGATAAGCTTACTTCATGTATTAGAGTATAAAAAGTGTCTTTTCTTTACTTTTACACTTAATCATACCTTGCATTCTAAATTTACTTACTCGTAAATCATACTTCAATACATACTTAACGATTTTTTTGACAAGGAGTAGTACTAAGTATATCTTCAGCAAGGTATGTCTTTATAGTAGGGATGTCAACGAGTACCCGGTTAACCGGGTACTCGATCGAACGTCCGAGTATCGAATACTAAAAATGGTACTCGGTTACTCGGATGTGTATTTTTTCTTATTTCAAAATACATATATTTATCAAAAACTTACCAAAAATTAACTTAGATGTGCATACGGTAATTAGCGTGTCGTCACCTATACCTGTAAAACACCCGTTCTCGCCTGTGGCTGTGTATATCCAGTAATTAGTGGCCAATCACCTGGTACACAGCTCTTCTCACCTATTGTGGTCCTTAGTTTTTGAATGGCTTCAATGAATGTTTTCGGTGTTCATCGTTTAAATATAGTCTTCAAATCATTTTAAAATTATTTAGTTAATATACGGCAGCGAAATCGGACATGCATAGAAATGCCGCTACCCACTTCAAAAGTGAAGAAATATTTAGAAATAATTAAAGATTAAAAAATATATATATTGAAAGTCAGTTTGCGTAGTAAGTTTAGTGTATACGGGGAAAACAACCAACAAATGAAATAATATTAGACTAGCGATCCCAGCAACGTCCGTTCCTTCTCTTTCGCTAGTCTAATATCATCACAAGCCTGCTTGATAGATTGTTCTCCTTTTGCGTTGATGAAATAAATCCTGAAAAACTAAGCCGTTGGTAATTTTTGATGTATTAATTGTCTTTTGTGTTTATTTGATAAAAAAATTTAGTACCAAAAAAATCAATTCCGTTGGACTCCATGTTAATATACATTTATAAACGTGATAAAAAACAGCTTTGGGTTTAACAAAGCTTAACGGGACTCAACAAAATTAACAAACTTATATTAACATTTTTTCCGAGTACCCGGGTACTCGATCGGAAAAACGTCCGAGTAACCGATTATCAAAAATTGACCGATTTGACATCCCTACTTTATCGATATTTCTTTGGTGTAGGTAAAGGTAATAAACGCATAGGGTGCTGGTCATGTACGATAAAATGACAGGTAAATAGGCAAATATAAACCTTTTTGCAGACATTTTGAAAAAAAAAAAAAATTACCATCATGGGTTTAGAAACGAAATATAAGGAAAATGAAGAGCTAAAGACCATTCCAAAGAAAGCAAGGGACAAGGCACGAAGAGTGACAATGCGGACGGGCAGGTAGAGAAATTAGTTTTCAACAAAAATATCTATTGATCACTACAGTGTAAAGAGAGACAATTATTCTTTTATTCCATGTTATTTGAAAGGAAGTGTTCTAGTTAGTGAAGAAAACTAACTATTCATTAACTTTGCTGTGATTTTGGATTGATATGATATGTATTGAACAAGCAAAGTTTGTTAACGTGCATCAAACAAGTAAGTTTTCAATATTCGTTATATTCACAAAGTAGGTCTCTTACAAGAAAAAATTGTAGCAATTTATTACGTACGTATTTAAATAACCTTTGTTGAAGTAATCTTATATAGTTAACCTTCCATTATAATTAAAGTCACCCTATCTAGTCCATTCGTACTACATGTAGTTTATAGTTCTAGTTAACTGCAGTATTGAAAAATTAAAGTGAAGACAACAAATAGTGTTCGATTTCATAAATCCTTTAAACTATATAAATCGTAAACTGCGAAAACATGGACCCCTAAACCTCCAGAGGTGGAGTCAGTTATGATCCTCTGTCGATCGCGGTATCATACCTGCTTGGAGTCCTGTGTATTGATCAGGTAAACCTAAGAACACGTAGTTTAATACTGTAAATATTGTACACGAGGACGATACATTATTTGATTGCTATTGCAATCTAAATTAATAAGACGAGGATGCAACAGACATTAGTTTTGTACTTGTTTTAAGTTAATGTATAAGTACTTACGTTCGCGACACCTTATTTAAACTCTTGATGTTCCTGTATGGGCGATCTGGTAAAATCTTTAATCATTCAAAAAGCTCTAAGATAGGGGCACTGTAGCATATTTACAACCTCAATTTTTTAAATATCTTTAAAGAGAAAAAATCAAATTATTTGATACCTCACAAGTTAACTTCAGGTACTTGTGTGTTGTTAAAGTAGAAAAACATGAAATACTAGGAGGGACATGAGGTTAAAAAAAGATAAATTGATGAAGAAAAATGCCAATATATTTCTAAAAATATTCATTGAACAAAATAAGCATTGGCCTGCAGCGAACAGACTCTACATGTTTATAACTATTTACTTATTAGAGAGAGGTTACAGTTAATCAAACAGAAAGTGATGGTCAGCGGGTGAGTGAAAAGTCAGAAGCTCATATCAGAGGCGTGGTATTAGAAGTCAGGGGTATGGTGGATCGAGCAGAAAAATTACAAACTGTGGTAAACCAGACGATTTATAGTCTAAAGTGTTCGATTTCCGCCCCCCCCCCCCCAAAAAAAAGCTACAGTTTATACTATAGCTAAATATATATGTAGTTTACTAAAGTATTAGAGTTTTTTTTCATTAAAGTAAATTTAAGTTTTCACTTATCAAAGAATTTTTTAGTATGAATTTCAAATTATTAATTAAATTCTATATTCTCCAAGTCTGGCATGCAATTTTTTATATTAAAAATACACATGCACATGAACTACTTGTTTATCGGATATTACTTCTAGAATTTAAATCATTTGTGTGTTGTTACATAGATTTGAAGGCCCTTAATGAAATACAAAGACGACAAACAGTAATCAACCTTAAGAGTCTATTGAAACAATACAAAATGGGAGCAGAGCAAACACGAGATGGTTTCAGTAGCTGCAACATTATTGTTGACAACTTACACGAACGATCACGTTACACGAACGATTAACGCCCAATAAAGCTCGTTACACGAACGATCCTTCACGCACACGATTCTACACATTCAAGAAGGATCACAATTGATAACGCAAACGCACGCTTCTTCACGCAATACACTCGGAAATATCTAGGAATGTACATTTTTAAAACAAAATAAGATTTAATATTTATTATTAATTAATTAAATAAATTAAATAAAATAATTATTGATTACAAATATTTATTTTTGAAGTTCAAATTTGTCCAAAGAGAGGGGAAAAAATAAAAGCTTCTGAAGCTTATGCTTAGACAAAATAAAAACAAATAGATAAAAACAGAAACTTCGGATCATCCGAAAGACTGCATGAGTTACCTCATAAATATTACAGAAACTAAAAAAAATATATATCTGTTTTCGATAAATTGATTTTCTTATTTTTATTGCCAAGGAAGTAGTAAGAAAAAAGAAACAAAAGATTTATTTTACAATATACATTCGATAAAAACAATAAAACGAAATTTACATACGGTTCTTGCCGCACCATGAATAAGAACATATACTGGAAACCGCTATGTATCTTTGTTTATAAAGATTTTATCTAGTTTAGGAATCCAGTATAAAAGGCATGGTAATTCAAATTCAGTTTGAGTGTTGGGAATATTAAATATTTTTAAAACTGTCAGAAATCTCAAAAGAGAAGCTTAATTTTTAAGTTTCATCATAGATTAAATCAAAGCATCAAACTATTAACTAAAGTTTAAACAATAGTAAATTGCTAGAGTAGAAATGAGAAATGAAAAAGAATCCTAATTTCTACTAAGATCTATATATATATATATATATATATATATATATA